GGAGTTTTATCTGAAGATATCATCACCGACTTAATAAGAAGGTTCCAGATTTTCTTAATCCATAAGCAATTGCTGCAAGAAAAAGGCAGGAAAATTCTAGACGCTATATTTATGGAATTCTTGAAGAAAGCAGTGAACAATCTGGAGAATGCAACAGCGGCCAAGAGAAGAAGGATCTATAATATTACATGTAATCCTCCACTACCGTTCTAGAGTTTTTCTTCACCACCACCATTCACACCTATATATATCTGTGTTCAGTTGCATTGTGTGTGTAAGGTGAGCAGAGAGATAGAGAAAGAGAGGCACACATATATGAATGGTATGTGAGAGAGAAATTAATCAAGTAAAGTCAGTGGAGTGATATAATTAAATAGTGAGGTGCTTGCTTGAGTAGAATTTAGTGTGTAGTGTTTGGTCATGCAATAATTTTGTACAAGTATTGTTCCATAATAAAATAAATGTTTGAGGGTTTTAAATTCAACAAATTGAAGATGCAGCACCTCCCTTCAAGAATGCTCTAGAGAAAACTATAAACTCCAGCCCATTTCTTGAATCTTCTTCTCTAAGCAAACTTAGAACGATCTAGAAAATAATCCGCATAAAAAGGAAAAAATATTCCACTGCCAATTTGAAGAATTTTCCAGAAAACTGAAGTTGGTAAAACCACCGAGATTCACATATATATATATGTGTGTGTGCGCAGCAGTATTTTGTAGAGAGAGAAACATAGGAGCATTATGAGAGAGGAGAGAAATTGATAAGTGTGTGTGTATGAGAGATACAGAGAAGCTTCATATATAAATCTACGTGTGAAAGAACCAAGAGGAATTGTGTGAGATGAGTGGAGAAACCAGGGTTTAATTGGGGGCCTGACATTGTAGGATTGGAGTTGGGATTCAGATTTTATGGAGGAGAGGTGGTGGATGAATTTGAAGAGATCGTCTTCATTTGCAGCGGTGGCGAATGAATGGAGGACTGAGTGTTTTGCGGTGGTGACAGAGCAATAGGATTGAATTCCCCGGTGAGATAACATGGTGGTGGGGTTGATGGAGGAGGAAGATTGAGGAACAAGAGGGTTTTGGTGGGTGGGGTTGGGCAGATCTATCGGCTTGTTGAAGTTTTAGAAATGGCTAAAAATGAGTCTGAATTCTTCAGCTTGTTCATTAAAATTTATCAAATGTTCATAGTTATCATCGAATTAAAAAGTTTTCCGAATTGCCATTAAACTTTAAAATATTTTCGAGTTGTCACTTATCTAACTAAAATACTATTTCATTCATCACTCATTATTTTGAAACTGCATGTCGCTCACAATTTTTTTTGAGGTGGTATACATATTTCGAAAGCATGCTACGCGCAAAAAAATTGTCTTGTCATGTCATCAAGTTGGTTAACTTTTAAAATAGAGTAGAATAGGACAATATTTTAAAAAGTTCAATAACAATTCGAAAAACTTTTAAAGTTCAATGGTAACTGAAAATATTTAAGAAAGTTCGATGGCAATTGAAGTATTTAACAAAAAAATACCTATTTAGCATCCGAACTTGCGATGGATCCTTTTGGGTCGCAATGACGATACTACATAAGGTAGGGGAGAACCTATCTCCAATAAAAAAATTGAACAGAAACAACCACCTTCTGTGCTACTTGAATCTGAAGAAAAAGAGTGAAGACAAACATTCGAGTGCATTGATGTTGCAGCAGTATCGGAAAGTTACAATTGTGAAAGTTTTCGAGGCGTCCAACGTACGTACAAGTTCGGATGCTTTGAGGGGAGTTCATATTCTATGTACATAGAGGTCATGGGGTGAGTAATTAGTTATGTCATTTTTGGGTCCGGCTGATTCGGGGACAGTTTTCCATAGAGTTTAGTGATTATCTTGACAGTATGTGTCGTTCAGGCATTGGTTATAACATTCTTGTAGGCTCGAAATGAAAAAATAAGTGTAATTACGACAGATAGGTGGATATTTTCAATGATTTACGTTTTTAATATTATTAGGATTTGATTTTTTTTTTTTTTTGTTGGTTGCATTCGATGATAAGGCAAAAAACTCTTACAGTTTACACTTTGTAAAAGGTGAATACAGCATTGTTTGTGAATTTTATTCATTGTAATTTTGCTTCGTATTCTTGGTTAACTGTTGATTGTAATTTACATGAAAATTCGGCTGTCATTTGTATTTTATCCATATTTAGATGTTACATTTAATGATATCTCTAATTGTCTTGTAAAAATTGTAATTATCTTTTATAATAGGTAATTGGGAAGTGTTATAAGTACATTAGGGGTGTCATAATGGTGTCCATAATGGACACATGGCACTCCACAATGTACTTGTAGCACTTACCAACACACTCTCCAATGGTGGAGTGTCATGTGTCCATTATGGACGTCATTATGGCACCCCTAATGTACAAGAAGAATTATCCATAGGTAACTAATCTTTGTGTAAGATTGAATTAAATTTGTTGCCAGATGAATTTGACATCTTTGTTGACCGAAGATGTGTAAAAAAAAGATTGACTGTTTTTTAAACAGTTCAATGAAATTCTATCACATGGCATTCTTGTCATCTAGGATGTCATCCAAAATGTTAGTGTAGCATGATTGTTAAGAATTAATTTCATTTACGATATATTTTGATTAAATTACATTCATTTTAATATAAGATACGTTCGTGTTCAAGTATTTACGTAGTATTTTATTTCTTATTATATGGTGCATGTATGGAACGCTTGTTTTACAACCATTTCTACAGAACTCTTTTTTTCTTTTTTAAGACTCATTATCAACTACACATTCCAATAATAAAATATTCTGCATGTAAACCAATTTTTTTTGTAATTTTTTACATTGAAAGTAAATTGAAGTTAAATAATATAAAATATGAATTTTACATTGAAGTTGCTTACGATGGTCGGAAGTATTTTCTTCCCTTCAATTCCTTGATCTTCCGTCTCAAAAGATTAGAAAGACTGTCTTAATTCTTTATGAGCTGGTTATTATTCTTATATTTAACTTATATAAAATTGTATTCTAAACAGTAGTTTTAAATTCGAGTCTAATCGACAAACCAATGAATCGGTCTATTCCATTGAACTCTATTGGACCATTTTATCAATGAATCGGTCAAAACCCACGAACAAATGATCATAAACTACTTGAACCACGTAGAAATTACTAGGAAGCAGTTGGATTGAAGTAGACCCGAACCATGAACTTATGGTTAAAAAAATATGTTATCAAAACGCAACCTTGGTATGCTCCTTTACGGTTCAACACGTAAACCGCTCTCCGGCTAAAACATCAAACTTATCGATTGAATCAGTAACACAACGACCTAAAAATCTAATGGATCAATTTGTGTGGGTATTAAAACTATGTCTACGATGTTACCTTCAAGACATGAAAGACAAAAATACTAGGATTACAAGAGGCTGTAATCCTTTCCAAGCATAAGTTAATTGTTTGTCCCTTGAATTATGGAAGGGACACAAACTAATTCATGACAAACTTACTAAAACATATTTCTAAGAATTATGCAGTTTTATTGCTAGTACACTTGAAAAGTCCTTTTCCAGTATTAATTTGAGTACATCTGAATCAGCGAGATTCGTGGGATATGCGATTGGTTGACACATTAAAATTCATGAATAAACCACTTTACCAATACACTCATTCTCTCTATTCTCCAATATAGATTTCTTAATCTTTCTTAAGGGCACATTTGGGAGAACTTATATTTTTACTAGAAGAACTTCCTCAGATAGTTATCGTATGTCAGCTTTCTCTAAAAGTTCTTTCAGTTCAACAGAGCGCTTTCAGAAAAAAGCAACTTTTGACTTTTCAAAATCTTTGCCAAACATGGGAGGATTGGAATATCTACTAAGGTGCTGCCGAAGTACAATCTAATGCACAAGTAATTCTCACTAGACAAAGCCAAAACATTGGAGGTCATCACATGCATAAGCCGCATAACTATATAAGATAATGAAGTTATGTATGTACCTTCACTTATAAATTAATAAAGAGCTGCCTAATAAAGTCATAAACAAGAAGTCGTGTGATCATAATGGCACATTCTTGAGATTAAATTCTTGATGATATAAACATTGTTCCTTATCCAAATTAAAATGGGAATTATTCAAACTTTCCTTGTATGCTTGTGTTTAGATTTCATTTGGAGTCGCAATCGATTTACAGGGTTAAAAGACAAAGTCCCGGAAGAGAGGGTTTATGTGCTTTGCTGGCATTGAAATTTAGTATTATACAGTTGGGAAGTCATTTTCATGTCTTGAGATAAAGGTTCGCTTTCATGTCTCTTAACTGCTAATTGATATAATATTAGTTATATAGAAATGATCTTCTACCTACAGTGGATGAGAGTTACAATGCCCACTTGTTGATGTGGCGTTGCCACGTTAGCAGATCAAACATTATTCTCTTTGAAAAGTAAAAATAAAATAAAAAAATAATAATAATCAATCGTGTTAATTGTTTTCTTCCAAATCTCTATTATTTTATTTCTCACTTGCCAAGTACTGATTCATTAAATTTGCTGCTCTACGAGTCCATTGCATGTTTAATTCTTGACAACTGTTTCGAGGAAAATAATGATCGATAGGCCAATTACAAAGTTGAACAATCTGCCAAAGCAAGTCGGTCTTTAAGTTTGACCACTCAAATTATACGTCTTTCGGTGAATTTCGTTAAAAAAATGAGTCACACATAAGATACAATATCATCGGTCGAAATATATAAGAATTTTGACTATTACAAACAATGATGAGCTTTTAAGAAAGAGCCGAAGGGCCAATAAAGTTTCTGAGCCCATTATGTTCATATAAGTTATTTAATCTCTTTACAAGCTCCAAAGAGCCATCGAATTCCTAAATTTATTCGAATGAGCAACCATCTTATAAGAATATGTTAAAAGTATTTCACTTAGATATTGTCTTTGAACAATTCATCATTTCATTGTATGTGTAATAGGATCTATTTGACCATGACAATTATTGACCTTCAAATTCGGTGTGACTTTGCCGTCAATAGATCTTAGCTCCTCTCTCGTCCATGCTTATGTTGTCTACACGCTTGGACACTACATTATAATGTACAGTATTGTAGATCCGATGGGGGTGTGATGGTCATATGCACTTCGACGATTAAGATCTGAAAATATGTATTAAATATAGGAAAATCACAACAGACAGAAATGGGGTGTCAGGTTTACTTGCATATTATAAGCTTAAGATTTAGATTAAGGTTACCTTTGGATGTCACCGGGTGTAAGTATTTATGACCAAGAGAGATTAGTCAAAGTCTGTTGGATACTTAACACGTGATTTCATCCTAATAGATCAATGGTCAAGCTCAATTGTGTTAATCCATATACATCATAGGCATGGGGTGCACATACCCTAAGTATAGGTTGAAAAAGCTGTGATTTGACTAAGAGGCATTGTCGCTAAGCTCTAATTGAATTCTCACATCAATCAATTTATGCAGTGTGCTAATGCAACTTGATTGAGGGAGGTTAGAAGCATGTGTCAATCGCCTTGAATATTCATTGCAATAGGGAGGTGATCCATCGTCTCGATTAACTATTTTCACACGTGAGATAACCAAAGCCCTGATCTAATTGCCTTGGAAAATGCCTATTCAAGAGAGATGCTGATACCTTGATGTGACTTTTTGCTTAACTAACCGTCACATGACCTTGCATGTAAATAGATGCCTAACAACAGTAATAAAAAAGTATTTATTTGTATCAAAAGATTTACTCTGATCATTAGTGTAAGAAGAGTTGCACGGAAGCAGTCCTCATTCGTGACGGATAACTAATATATAACAATAAAGTTAGTTATACAGACATAATTGACAACCATGTGTAGTCACAATTCGGATCATTGATATAAAAAATAGTTTTTAATAATTTTTTAAATGGATGGGTGTTATAGTGCAAAGTGTGTAGTTGTCAACCAACATTGTCGACAAAGGTTGTACATGTCGTATGATTAAATATATAATTACTATTCAAGTTATCTCTTTTTTCTGTAATTACACGAGAATGGACAGATTATGAGACTGCTAAAGCTTTCCCTGCCCAAATCAAATATCCTTTTACGTTTGTTATAAATCAATTATATTAAAATATTGAAAAGTTAAAAGGTGTTTGATGGAGATTAAAATTTGATTTTTAGTAGATTGTGACAGAAGTTTTTGAAATATGTGATTGAAAAGTTGTGGGACTCATAAAAGACATGTCGACGTGGTTAATATTGATTGTTGGACTTTGACTTGAATTAAAATCAAATTTTAATCCAAACCAACGGCTTACACTACTCACAAGTCATTTCAGCAGCATAGAGTCAAACTGAAACTTGTATTACTTCCCACATAATCACATTTATATATGTACATAAATAACATAAGAAACCCTTGTAACGACCACAGAGAGAATTGGTGAAAGACGTGAAATTACTGCACAACAATGTTTTTCTCACATCCTAACAAACTGAACTTGAGAGGGGAACCCTCCTGGGTCGGGCCCTAACCGATAACGGGTTAACCATTTCACAAGAGAGCTTGAGCACCTCAGACAAGTCCACACTCATTTCATTGCAAGGCATAAACTCGAATTCATGCAAAAGCGAAGCAACCCAAAATGTAACCGTGGTTAGGCCAAAGGTCTTACCAGGGCAGGCCCTCCGACCTGACCCAAACGGTGCAAGCCTCAAATCTGACCCCAAAACACACACATCCATATGCTCACCCTCATTCATAAACCTCTCAGGCTTAAATTCCAGTGGGTCCACCCAAACCTCTGGGTCCCTCATGATGGCCCACATGTTTACCATTGCAGTGGTACCCTTTGGCACGTGATAGCCGTCGACGGTCGAGTCCGTTATCGCTAAACGTGACCAGGATAGGAGTGGGCCCGGTGGGTGTAATCTTAATACTTCCTTTACTACCGCATGTAAATACACCATTTCCGTTAAATCAGACTCTGCCAGCGCACGTGACTTTCCGACAACCTTGTCCAGCTCATTATGAACCCTTGATTGAACATCAGGGTGCATCACCATTCTGGCTAGTATCCATTCTATCAACACTGCCACAGTATCCGTGCCTCTAAATATCATTTCCTGCAATTCATGTGTTTAGTTAGAAATGTTCTCGTAAGCCAAAAGGGACGTGCTTAAAATATTAAAATTTGAAAGATGAAAAGGACCTACTGATGCTGGATATTTAAGAATATGTAATTTAATTTGCCTAACTTAGCTTACCCAGAGTACGGCGATCATATCGGAGTCGGATAATTTATCAGAACCATTTAGAGAGAGCAAAACATCGACAAAATCACGGTGGAGTTTGGTGGTTTCAGCCTTGTGTTCATCAATAATACGACGGACGAAGGAATTTACTTTAGGCACGAGCTTGGAGCACCGGAATCTGATGTTTTGTACGTCAAAATCAGCCAACCAAGGAAGGTGATCGGACCAATTGACTGTACCCAATAGCTGGTACCCTTCATCAACCAGTATTCTTAACTCAGAATTGTAAGATTCGAGACTGTATTTTCGTCCAAACACAGAGCACATCATGTTATTAAGAGAAGCTAATTTCAATGCATCCTTAACACGAATAGTATCATCTTTTTGTGCATTAAACATTGCCACCATCTGATTAGCAATTTCAAATCTCTGAGATTCGGAAGCTTTAATTTGTTTAGGAGAAAACAGATGTGTAGTGGCGATTCTTCTGAGGGTTCGCCAGTAAACACCATAGGAAGCAAATCCAATAGCTCTGTTGAACATAAGATTGTATGCAGATTCTTTTACAGGACGATCAGCAAAAACTGAACTGTTCAAAATCTCTTTTGCTACATCTGGTTTGCATGTAACTATCACTCTTGTTTCCGGTTCCGATTTGCGGTAGTCTGCGTTGGCTTGACAAGTTTCTGCTGTGGCCGCAATTTTCCGGTGTGCTAAACCGGCCATGAGTTTCATGCTGCCGATAATAGGAACACCTCTTGGACCGGGTATAGTTTTTGAATTGGTTTTTGATTTTCTCCATTTATGCTTGCCCCAAGCAGGACCGCCCGGGTGTGCCCAAAAAACCAAATTCAAGAATAACCATGCTATTACAAAGAGTAATGCAACAAATATGGAGTTTAGGGAAGTGAAGGATTTATATTTAGAAGCTAGACCAAAAACCCACAAACTCTCCACATATGTTCTCATTGTTAAGGCAGAAGAGAAGATGCAAAGAACTGCTTTTGAGGGTTTAAAATTAGAAGAAAATTGGTTGGTTTATATAGGCGAGCAAGTGATGATCAGCAGTGAAACAGTTATTCTTCAAATTAGGACCGTAGAATTGAATTCTTTCACTTGTTAACTTCAAATTTTACTGAACTTTTGAGTAGCGCCGCCACTATTGCATGACAAAAGAGGAAAGAACCCACTGGACCGTTGCTTCTTGGTCATGCTTAAGCATGTTAAAAAATGTTGGGTTTTGATACTCAATAAATCTCACGCTATGATGCAAACGTCATATTGAATTTCATATGCATTGACCGATGAGTGAAATTATTACCAACAACCAAGTCCAAATACCCGACTCGAAAACAACGTGAACCGTTGGAAGTAACTTAAGAAATGAATGTTACTCACGGGCCACGGCCCATATATATTACCTCGTCTTTGCCATAATCGTTTGTGTGTGATTTGTGAGAAAAAAGAAAAGAGAAAAACGTGTGCCTTCCCTTTGATTTTGGTCTCCTCTTTTGCCTTTTTTCATTGTTTCTTCTTTCTTATCTTTGTGGCTACAAATCATTACCCTTATATTGTCCTTTGTAGGTGAGATTGGGGAGCAACCGAGATGAATATATTGGTTGTGGATTGGAGTCATCTGGATTGATTGTTTGGTAGAGAAATGTAACGTGAAATTGAGCCCGAAAAACATCGTTGTGAAGATCTTTGAAGTGAACTTCCACGACAAATGGTATCAGAGTTTCAAGATGATGGATTTGGTTAAAAAAACTAACCAAAAACTGATAAAAAAAAGCAGTAGAATCGAAGTAGAAATCAGATCGAAAAACTATCTAAATTCAAAAACCGAGGCGTTTTCGTGATTTTCGATTAAACCAGAAGGAATTTGGTGAAACAGAGACCACCAATGTGACATGCAAGTGAAGGCGCACCAAATTGGCTGGTTCGTGAGGACGTCTGGGGGCGTGTGAAGCCCACGTACTGAGGTTGTTGGTGGCGCGTGGTGATGCATGCAGAGTTTTTTTTGGTAAAGTTGTATTCGACAATTGTTCCTAACATCATTTTTGACATTTTGGTATTGTTAGTTTTCTGTTTTAAGTTATACAGTAGAATCTGAACTATTTTTTCCTTTACGCGTTCAGGATTCGATCATGGTTGATTGATTTCTACGATTGCAGGATACTTTAGGGCCAATAGTAATGGCCCTAAAGTGATAAATTCACATCTCTTATTATTTACGGATTCAGATTGGTTCGCTCTTGTCTATTGGTTTATCGCAATTTAAATTTTAGTAATAGGGCGTCATCATGTGGGGTGAGATTATGATTGTGGTTACCGTGTGAGGCAACTATTACTTGTGCTAGAAATATAGGAATTATTTGCTTTGTTTGAAATGTTGAATTTGATTGCAAGTTGGTAATTGTTTTAGTGCTTTGATTGTCGTTTAGTCATTATGTGAGACTGCATTGTGTGAAAATTTGAATTTTTGTTGACTTACATTTGTGTTAAAACACTTAGATTTGACCTGTTTTGAACATTCTCTTGATACTGAGATCTCGAGTCTCACGAAATATTGAGAATTTAGAACGGTGTATACTGTCGCTTTAAGATTACTTTGTGTGAACTATCTGTGCACTTTAGTTGTTCTGTTTTTTCAAAATATCTTTCCATTTCAAAATTGAAATTTTCAATAAAAAATAGAATATTTCAATTTGATAACAAAAGATGAAGAGAATTTTGGTTCAACAAAAAGTTTCAAATGTCATAGATGGAAAATTTCCTACAAATTCGACAGAAGCACAAAAAGAAGAATATAATGAACTTGCTTAAACTTCAATTATATTATACCATCTGACACTGTTTTGAGAAAAGTTGGTAAACTTGATACCACGAAAGAACCTTGAAAAAAGTTGAAAGACTTATATTTATTTAAGTCTACTCCAAATAAGTTATACTTGTTTGAAGATTTTTCAATTTTAAAATGGATTTTTCAAAGGATCTTGCTAATAATCTGGATATTTTTAACAATCTTGTTCAAGATATCGGTAATTGTGATGAGAATGTGTCTGAAACTTAAAAAGCCATCATTTTTCTTAATTATATGTCTGATTCATATAAAGAGGTTAATAATGCAATTAAGTATGTTAGAGACACCTCAACACCCGAGATTGTCATAGATTCCATTAAGAGTTAGGAGATGGAGAATAAGGATAAAAAAGAGGATAAGAGGACTCGTGAGTTTCATATGATGAGGAGTAAAATGAAATTTAAACGGATGAATTTGGGTAGAGCTCAAGACAGTAGTGACTCGAGTGATGATGGTAGTAAAAAAAGGGACAAGGAATATGACAAGTTTAGTGGTAGACGGTGTTATAGTTGTGGTAAGGTCTACACTTTATTAGGGATTGTTCTAAGAAAAAGGATAAGCAGAAGGGTAAGATGAGAGATAAGGATGTCAAAATGGCTCTCGGCTCGGGCCGCCCGTGGCTCAGCTTGGAAAAGCCCAAGCCAAGCCTGCTCAAGGCTCGGAACTACCGAGCCCCATTTTGGGGCAAAGGCCCGAGCCGACCCGAATAAGTCGAATTCGTTTAAAAAAATTGAAAATAGCAACTTAGCCTGTAGGAAGGAAAAAAATTCAAACAAGCCTGCACAGCACTTGCAGGCAGCTATGAAAAAAAATGAGCCAGCTCAATTCGCTAAGGTTCGAGCCAAAAAAAGCTCGAACATTTTTTGCTCGAGCCAAACCCAAACTTCGAATTTCGGCTCGTGGCTCGGCTCAATCTGCTCATTGACTTGACTAGTGAGAGGTGAGTCGAATGTGGCTATAGGGTCGAGTGATGACCCTAATGAGGTTTATTGACAGTAAATATAGTTACTGCATGTTCATCTTTATGTAATCATTTCTGTATGTGTGTAGTTGTTTAATTCTGTTGCATGATTATATGTTACATTTCAATATGTTTATATGTGTATTTGCATGAATTTAATAGCAATTTGATTACTGGTGTAATTGTTTACATGCATAGTAGGTTGGGATGCATTAGTAGTGTGTTGTATATTTTTTGGTAAGGTGGTGTATATATACCTAGGGGTACATTGATAATTGGTACCAAGGATGTGGAGTGGCATTTGGATCACGAGTGGATATGTGATTAAATGTTGAAATCCTTTATTTGTGAAGACTCCGATCAGGTGGAGTGTGAGAGAGGCACTTCTATCACTTCTCTTAAATTAAGACTCATTATTCACTTAGGTGGGGAGAAGTGATGTGATGATAGAGGACCATCTCGAGGAGTTATGATCTATAAAGGTTTATTAGTTAGACATGAGTTGAGCAATTAGTCCAGTGGGCATAGTGGACGATGAGAGAAGATATGTGTTTTACAAGTGTGAGCAACACAGAATGAGATATGATAAGTGTGGTGAAATCTTTTCGTGGGGTCACTTATGCATTTGTTGCATGTGTTTTGACCGTTTGATTGACTAATTTAGTGTTAATCTGTTGTTCTGTGTGAACGTATTTTTTGAAAAGATTTGTCATTTATCATACGTTATATTTTCATGCATGATTATTTGCTCTTAATTGTTTACCCTGATCATCTGCTTCTACTTGGGTATTTGTTTGTGACCTTAGCTCTTGTGAGTACATGGAGCATGTATGATATTTGTTTCGAGTCCGAAACACGAGGTAAGGTTCGTGATCCCAATTTTATAGATTGTCTTGATTATGCAAGCATTAAGAGCTCGTTTGTTTCTCATTTTTCTTCCATAAAAATGAAAAATATGATCGTTATCCATCACATCAAGCCATCAATTTTGAATTTCTATCTCTTGTGTGGGGCCCAATAACGACTATATTTTTCATTCTCATTCTACAATAATAAGAATCAAACGGGCCATAAATCAAGAATTTTGAGTAGGGAGTTTTCTTTATTTCTTCGCATATTAATGTGATTATGCCCCCGTTTGGACCACTTTTTTATCTCATTAATTTGAAAAATATGATCGTTATCCATCACATCAAACCATCAATTTTGAATTTCTATCTCTTGTGTGAGCCCCAATAACCACTATATTTTTCATTCTCATTCTGCAATAATGAGAATCAAACGGGCTCTAACTTTGTGTTTTGATTACTTGCAGGTTGACTGGGTATTAAGGTGGAAATTTGTTGGGTTTTGATACCCAATGAATCCTGAACTATAAATGTTAACCTTATTTTGAATTTCATGTACATTAGCCGATGAGTGAAATTGTTACCAACAACCAAGTTTAAAGGCTCGACCAGAAAACAATGTGAATTGTTGGAAATAGTTTAAGAAATTAATGCAACTTATGGCCCATATATATTACATCTTATAAGGTTTTAAATCTTGATCTATTTAACCATTTATTGGTTTAACTAAAGTGCGAGCGCGCGCGCGCACACACACAATGTGTTTGGTGAAGAAAAACACGTGTCTTCCCTTTGATTTTGGTATCCTCTGTTGCCTTTTTCATTGTTTCTTCTTTCTTGTCTTTGTGGTAACAAATTATCACTGTTATCTTGTTATTTGTGGGTGAGATTGAGGAGCAATCGATGTGAATACATAAGTTGTGGATTGAAGTCGTTTGAATTGATTGTTTGATAAAGAAAAATAACGTAAAATTGAGCTAAAAAAATACCGTTTTAATGATTTTTGAAGTGAACTTCCGCGACAAAAAAACACTGCTAATTATAATGTTGGTAGTTTCGTTATCCTTCCTTAGTGACTTGTGTTAGGTCTAGGTCCACGACTATGAATTCATGCAATGTATCGGAAATTGCACATTGAATTTGTAACAATTCAAAACATTTTATTGTTCTATCTCGTCTCAAAATACGACAAACTTGTCATATCACCGCATATATTAACTGTTATACTGTACAGATGGAAATTGTAATATAGTGATGGTGTTCGGAGGTAAGGGGGCGAGCGCACCTGACCTGACGG